ACAATGATATATTGCTAGATGTCACTCATTGTATGTAATATTAGAATGTTCTAATAATTACACTAACGTTACAAGAACTACAGGGTCACACCCTAGGATTGAAATGAGCAAAGATGTACAATTTGTTGTATGTTGCTAAATATCTAGAGTTATATATGTATATTTGATTACACATGATTTAATTGTCCTAATATAGTAAGTAAACATTAAAAGAATGTAATTTTGATTACAACTCTTTTAATTAATATTTAATTCAAAATAATTAAAAAAGATTTTAAATAAGCATTAAAGATTGTAATTCATATTATAAGTCTTTAATGTATATTTAATTTGAATTAATTAAATAAGAAATTTATTAATTCAAAATAAATTAAAAACCCTAAGTGTTAGGGTAACTGATATATTTAAGTGAGGTAAGGTCTAGCAGCCAATCACTCAGTCGTTTTTCTCAAAACCGATTTTGGGAAAATAAAATTTTGCTATCAATCGGGTGAACTAAGTAGAGGTCGAGACGTGTTTTCGTGGAGGCTTACAATGCGAACCGTTTGTGATCACCACTTATCGCTGATGTCTTTGTTGTTTTTCTAGGAACCCATTCTAAGTATTCTCATCCTTTCTTCTCGATTTCGATTTTACGTACTTGGATCGCTTATGAGACCGTCGAGTTTTGTTTCTGCTGTGTCGTGGGGTGCGCCGACAGTCCCAACAATCACATCATATTTCCTACCAATTTGACATATTTCATACTTTTCATATTTCACTTTTCATAGTCCAATGCATATTTAAGAGAATACAAGGTACATGAGTAGAACATGAAGTGCGCACTAGGCACTTCACGGTGCCAATCATAAATCATCATAAGATGCACTCCAAGTGTAATTCAAACATATGCACCAACGTTCTAATACATAATGTATATGAATGTATCATAACTTAGTTTGAATTTACTCAATTTAATGACATGCCAATGTACCTATGACTCTCCATACAACATACAACGGTCTTATAAATCATATTATAATCATCTATTGATCAATGTCTCATAATCATAAACATTTAAAATTTCATCATCATAAAAATTTTATTTGGGCTGTTCATACTCTAAACCATCCATAAAACATTTATATAAACAATATGGAAATAATCTATAATTAAAATTATAAATCATACTTTAAAATAATATGAGGTTGATTTATCGTAAGTAGTCATCGATCAGAATAATTAAATAAATAATCCACACTCACTTTTGTCTCACTACCGAACCTTTATGCAATACTCTTTACTAGTGCGCTTCATTCTTTCCTTTCGGATCGCTCTATTCGCTAGGTTTATTGTGATATGTCAACATCATATAATAACATAAAATATTCAAACTATATGTTGGTATCGAACAAACATAATCTAAATTTAATAATATAAAAGTCTATAAAAATAAAGAAATAAAAATCAATACTTAATCGATATAAAACTAAATCATGCTTTCATCATAATTTCAAACTTCTCAAAATACTCATTCGATTCCATAAATATTTATTTTCATCATAATCCCTTCAACTTTTTTATTCACAACCAAGTTACTAATTATGAATTCTTTTTAGAATTCATATCAATTTTTCCATTTAATTCATAATGGTTCTTTACCATTATGATCATTTCACATTAATAACTAAAATTTCCAGCACTTTAATAACATACTCAATTCCATGCCTTAACATTAAAAGACTTGCAATTTCATCTTAGACTTTCTTAGACTTTTCGAATTTAATCTCCCACCTTTATAAACTTGCAATTTGATTTCGTCTTAATATTTGACTCCAAAAATCAACATGCTAATAAATTTTCCAGAATTGTAATTTTATTAACAAAATAACATCATCGCTTTTAAAAACTTACAATTAATTCCCAACTATTGAGACTATTAGAATTCCATTACCATACTTAGCTAGATTTGCACCTTGATCCTTAATCATCAACCCAACTTAATCATTCAGCATTGAACACCTCAAATAACACATTTATGCAATAGTATCCCACAATTCTCAAAACTTGTAAATCAGTTTCTTTTCTATTTCAAGCTTCCAAATCGATCCAAATTGATATCTAAAGCTTATAGAACACTTCGAATATCAATTTTAAACCATAGGAATTTTTTTTAATATTTTCCCATAATTCTTCCCTTTGGCCGAACCTATATAAGCATTTAGGGTAAACTTTTCATTCAATTTCAAGAATGAGTTTAACATTCTTAGTTTAAATTCATGACATTTCAACCATCACAACATCAAATCCAATTAAAATTCAACCAACCTCAATAAACCCTAAACATGGCCAAATATGATATAAGCTTCTACACTTGATTTTAATCATCACTCATGCCTTAGAATTAATCTACAACAACAAAATATAAAAACCATTCATTAACTCTTCAAAATTCAACATGTTCTTCAATCACCCAATTTATGAAACTCATCATCCAAGCATGTTTTCCATGAAACTTTATACCAAATGATAGAGAATTTCAAGATGATTAATTATATATCTAATAGCTTAATCCAAAAATCGATTGAATAAGCTTAAAAATTAAAATTAAAACTTGCCCTTAGCTTCAATGGTGTCCACATTTTGGAGAAGATGAAGAATGCAATTTTTCCTGAATTTTCCACACTTAATTATCATGATACACATGGCTTTATAAGAATTAAATGAATTTAAAATTCATTTAAAGTTACTTTATTATTTTACCATTAATGAAACTTGATAATTATAATTTGCTATTAAAATATTCTTCATCAAAATATCTCATAGTCGATGAATCAAATTTGGAGTTGACTTTCTAGTTTAACCATGCAATTTTTGAAAATAACAATTTAGTCACTAAATTTTTTCAATTTCGACTAAATAGGGAAAATTAACTTTAATTCTACCGATCCAGAATAAATTTCATTGTTATAAAATATGGAAATAATATTTCCAACATTCATCTACTAGCTTTCAAATTTTCTCAAAATTTCGATTCGATCGCTTCTTTTTTAAACTTTACTATTTTATAGCTTTTAATACATATTTCGAATCAAAATTCCGATTCCTACTAAAACCTTAATTTCAAACTAAATTATTTTCTTATGACAAAAATATATAACTTTTAAAATTATATTTTTGGTTCCTATACTTTGACAACTTTGTACTTCGGCCACTAAACTTTCCAAACTCATATTTTAGTCACTAACCAAAATTTAGGATATTACATGTGACGGAAGCGATAACTCGATTCCCAGTTCGATATTTCCTACAACAACACGATGTCGAATCAAATTCCCAATAAACACCCAATAAATAATTTCTATATCACTATTAGGGATGGGCATGAGATCCGAACCCGACCTAACCCGATCGGGTTTGGTTTTTTAACCTTAATTCCGAACTAAATTATTTGCTTATGACAAAAATATATAACTTTTAAAATTATATTTTTAGTTCCTATACTTTTATAACTTTGTACTTCAGCCACTAAACTTTCCAAACTCATATTTTAGTCACTAACCAAAATTTGGGATATTACACGTGACGGAAGCGATAACTCGATTCCCAGTTCGATATTTCCTACAACAACACGATGTCGAATCAAATTCCCAATAAACACCCAATAAGTAATTTCTATATCACTGTTAGGGATGGGCATGGGATCCGAACCCGACCTGACCCGATCGGGTTTGGTTTTTTAAATGTGATATTCGAGTCGGATAGGGTTCAAATTTAGGGTAAAAATTACCTGACCCAACCCGACCAGAAAAAAAAATAATTTTACCTTATATATTTGAAAATAATTACAATAATACCCCTTTATATTATTTTTTCAATTAAGTCATTTTTATTGAATGAAAATAATATTTTTTTATAATTTCGAGTCGGATCGATTTTTAAGTTAAATATTAGATCGGGTAAAATCTTATTTTGGTCGGATTAGATTGGATTTCAGGTGAAATATTTCTTGTTCTCGGGTAGGGTATGATCAGGTGGACCAAAAAATCGACCCAACCCGACCATGCCATCCCTAATCACTGCAATAATTATCGACGAACTAATTAAATAATTTCAGATCAATTCGGTAGCAAAGGCAGTGGTTTCGGATCGAAGATACTGATATGCCGGAATGCTTAAACGAGGCTGCCGGTGACAAGGGTGCCTCGAAGCCGTACCCAATGTTCGGTGGTGTCACGGCCAGCCTTGTCGTTGCCTTAAACGACCGGCCACCACACCATAACGTCGCAACACCTCAGACAGAACCGATGAAGGGGGTTCCACGGCCAAACCAAGTTTCCGACATCGACCCAAGCCAACTGACCTTCCCCGGCGTAAACCCGACCACCCATACCACAAACGGCCTAATACGGCCAAGACCAGCGGCGGCCGAGGAGATTTGCGAGCCCAAGTTCGTGGGTTCACGCTAACCCACTCCAAAGATGACGGCAAGAGCAAGGTCACGATGCGGAGGCTTAAAGATGTTGGTCGGCGACGGAATTTACTTGGATCCGGCGAAGAAAGGAAGGACAGCGGCAGTTTTTGGAGAGAAAGCGGGTGAGCGGCGCTAGGGTTTGTGGGAAAAGAAAGGGTAGCAGACGCGTAGGTGATATACTCGGGGGGGGGGGGAATTTTGATTTAAAGAAACATGGTTTAATTACAAATCAATCCATTTAATTTCATAGAGTTTTTGAAATAGAAACAAAACTTCCAATATTTACAATTTAGTCCTAAACGGAATTTAGGGATTTAATTTTTAAAATTTCCCAAAATTTTAGTGTTTTAATTTGGAGAAATTTTCGGGTGTTGCATTATCTTAATAGTTGCGGATTTTCATTCAATTTTAATCAACTATTGATTTTTTTAAAACTAAATTAAGCAGATGAAGCTCAAATCGGAATCTCTTACAAATTACAAGCAAACAACATTTCAAACTAGTCAAATGAGAGAGAGATGGGCGGAGTTTATGGTGGCATCCTCAATAAAAAGACAAGAATTTAATACTATTAAATTCACGACATTACACACATTGTGTTTCTTCAAATAGCCATGCAAACAGATGATAAAATGCGCTAATATTCTTATGAAAGTAATGCGTATACCTTGCATACATGCATTTTCCCATGCATGCTTTCTTATATCATTTTTTATGTATCATAATCATGGTAGCCATCCGGTCATGTAATTATTCACACTCGGACCGGCAGTGACGGCCGATATGGTTTCCGGCTGATATCTGCAATCCAACATAACCGGATATTTAGAATGTAGAATGTTATTGTTACACATTTAAATTCGTAGTGAGTGTCGGATACGAATATATATATGTAGTACCCGATTTGCAATGTAGGCTCGTAGTCCAACGGATGAAAGAAGACGTCGCCATGAGGCTGATGGGTTGGCTGCCGGCCGTAACCGATAACATCTTCGGCGTTTGGATTCAACTGAAGTGAGTTTATTTGGTAGCTTTCCATCAACTACAAAGTTCTCTCAAGTCATTAAATATGGCCTTTTGGTAATCTTAAAAGCGGTTAAAATGACACCTACCCTTTGTTTTAGGGTCTTATTGGCTTCATTAAGTAGGTGTTCCTGCATCAAAGAAGAGGAATAATAGTTGTAAATATTAGTGAAAGAGAACAAAATTCACTCCTATTGAACACTTTGATCTCTATTTTTTAAACACTTTGACCCGAAACTTTTTATTTTAAAACAAAAATACCTCTTATTAGATGAAAACCGTTAATTAATTAACGATCATAAATATTCTGTCATCACTTATGTACATGTGACATATGCCATGTCATCACTTATATACATACATATGATATGCACCAATTCATCACTTTGGTCACATGACATGTTTCACGTCATCACTTTAAAATTGTGGTATGTGCAACATCATCACTAACTAACACATGACATTTACTACGTCCTCACTTTCCTATATATAGGACTTGTCATTTCAACGATAAGTATTGACTGTTAGTCAACTAATAATTTCCGTCCAACCGGAGGTCATTTTTCTCCCAAATGAAATGTTAGGTGGTCAAAGTGCTTCAATAAAAAAAAAATAAAGGCTAAAATGACTATTTATCAATCCTTAGAAATATTTTTGACTTAACATCACTAATATTGACTGTTAGTCAACTAATAATTTCCGTCCAACCGGAGGTCATTTTTCTCCCAAATGAAATGTTAGGTGGTCAAAGTGCTTCAATAAAAAAAATAAAGGCTAAAATGACTATTTTATCAATCCTTAGAAATATTTTTGACTTAACATCACTAATTTAATTGGTTTGAAACTAAATAAGATAATGACATGAATACCTTTCGTTGGAGATCGGTGAGCTGATCCAGCATGTATTGGGTCTACACCAGAAATAACTAAATCAGATCCATAATTCCATGTTTAAGAAATGAAAATTTTAGGTAGAGAAGGGAGTAAACGTACCCGCGTTGATCTTATCAGCTTTAACGACGAATCAAGCTGCCTCTCGAGAGACTCAAGCTCTTTGCTGCTCAAAGGGCCTAGATCTTCTCCTAGTAAATTCCTAACAAAATAATCCAAACGAGTCATTTCCATTCGGTAAACAGCTTCATTGTGGTAGCATTTAGTTTAAGAAATGCAAACAATATCGGGTCATTTCAAGGACTACCTTTGAGACCTTTGTAAGGCTTCGTAGCGTGCTTTGAGCTTCAGATATTCCTGCTGACTGCTTAGCTCCTATAGTGACAGCATGAAGAAATGTAAGCCAAATGCATATTATGTTACATTTTCTTTTAAAGGCTTCTCTAACAAACAACTCAAAACAATCAAAAAACAAAAAACAAAAACCAAGTAGTGTTTCGTAATTGGTTATGTTTCCTTAAATATTTTTTTCAACATCTATTTTTCTCTATTTTCATAGTGTTACTGAATGGCAAATAATAACCAAAAACCAAAGTGGTGTTTTGTAATAAAAGTTGCAGAGAATAGGAATACCAGAGCCTCCCTAGCTGAAACATTTGTCTCTGGAGCTCCATGGCTGCACTTCTGGTACCTCTCCAATGTTTTCATCATGCTATATAAACATATAATTCATTAAATGTATGTTCAAAGGATGTAACAGATTCACTCGCACAAAATAAACCATACAATCCTGTGAATTGAAATTTTAGACAACTGGAATTATGACAGCAGCAATTGAAAGGTAATATTATATTGCACGTATAACATAGTGTAATAACTGTATCGTAACGATTTTCAAAATAATCAAGATCATGCACTCCAAATTTAAAAACATAGTTACTTTTAGGCTTAAACTAAAAATAATTGCTTAAAATGTACTTTTTTACTTTAAATCTCTATACTATTTTTTAGTTAAAATACATCCTAAGCTATGGCTTTTTTGTTTTAAGTTTTCAAACAATTTTTTCATCAAAACAAGTATATAATTTTATTTGAAATACTAATATCTCATTGGCTGAAAAAAAAATCTAACTGAAAAAATGGCAAAACTTTGAATAATTAGATAAAGATTTATTTTTACTTTATGCCTTGCTTTTAAGAAACAAATTATCAACATCCACAACCGTAATACTATTATTACAATCGTAATTTAGTATTATAAACATAAAGATCGACGGTAAATAAATCAGTTGTAAAAAGAAAACATAACACAAAAAAGAAATCTAGTCTCCTGAAACTTTAGATCTTAGAGATATTTGGGTGTTTACGGTTTAATTTAACTTGAAATAATTGAGATTTGGAAACCCTAATTTACCTGAGGGAAGCAGCTTTGGGGAAATTAAAACCCTAGAAATATCAGAAGCGTTTATGGAGATGTCTCCATCCACTTTCAAGTGATTGAGATAGTAATATTATAATTCCCAGAAACAAAGAGAAAGAGATATAATATAATCCATTGGAAAGAAAGGAAGTTGGTTTGTAAGAAGAAGAAAAGACAAGACACATCTGAAAAACAGAAACAACAGTGGTGAAGTCTCCTGCTTGTCTTTCCTGTTTTGATTTGTTCGTAAACATCTCCGTTGGTTTTTCATCTCTTTTGCTTCTTTTTTTCAATGTTTTTTCCTTACAAATCAGATAGAAATCAGTCATCAAGCTTTAAATATGTAAAAAGTTCAAAACTTTGAAATAGAACCCTAATTATGAGCTGATTACAGAGTTAACAGATATTAACATACATGATTTATAATAATTTAAGGGAAAAAATAAAGATCTAAACGAAGCTTTGAATGAGATAAATTAAAGAAAGGAAGAAAAGAACTGATTCGTGAAATTCAAAGCTAATATGCAACAAATCTCCGAGTTTCTTCAATTTAGAAGAAACTTGAAAAAAAAGGTTTGATTTGTGAAAAAGAAAGGAAACAAAGGGTTGATAAAACGAAAAGATCAAATAAGAAAGATGATATATCAGTGATCTTGTGTTTGATGTTATAGAATTGCAGATCTAACATCGACAAGAACATGAAAGAAAAACTTGGGCTCTGCCATAAACGCCAAGAAATTCACCAAAACGGAAAAACTCAAAAACATTACTTCATTTCATAAATTTTGACAAAAACAAAAGCCCATTGTGGTACCCATTGTTTCCATTTGTGTTTCCATTTAGCTTTTGAGAGAGAGAGAGTACCAAAAAAGAAAAGAAAAAAGGGTTTTGTTCGTTTTGGTGATATACCTTGAACTACTGCAAAACTCGTACAGTTTTCCTCTATTGGAGAAGATGATGAGAGCAACCTCGGCATCACAAAGAACCGAAAGCTCATAGGCTTTCTTCAAAAGCCCATTCCTTCGCTTAGCAAAAGTCACTTGCCTGTTAATCTTGTTTTCAATCCTCTTCAGCTCAACCCTACCTCTCCCCATTTTTCTTTTCGTTTTTCCCGAGAAAACGAAAAAAAAAACCTATTTTTCCTTGTTCTTGCTGACCTTTAATAACCCTTTGCAGCTTCCTTTTACAATATCTGGTCTAATCTAATTCTAATATAAATTCAAAGCTAAAAACAAAAACTTTTGCTTTGTTTTACACACTAAAATGATAAACACAGCCCTAAACAAAAAGGGTTTTTTTTAAAAAGAAAAAAAAGTGGTAAACAAAAAGGGTTTTCCTTTGTATCTCCAAGGGACCTAATGTTCAGCCGTCGGATGGTTGATCCAAGGGTGGGAAAAGGAAGAGCAGCCAAAGACGACGATGATGGGAAACCTTAACCAATAAATACAAAGGGGTACTGTGACAGTGCTACGTGTAGAAAGGATAAGTAGATAGACTTAGTAATGACCCAACTGGCCATTTTAGGGTTTGGGCAATGGTGTGACCTAACATTAAGAAGGTGAACCTTTTCGCCTTATATTTACGAAATTACCCTTCTGACTGTCTGTCGGGCTCAACTTTCCATGTCCGAATCTCTCTGTTGTATTTTGGTTTCTTAAGACAAATCCTTGTCTTAAAATATTCTTTGTAACAATTCAGGTAACGTAATCATGATTTGGTTGATTTGGCTAAAAGCAAAACAGGATCTAAAACGCTAATACTTAAGTTCTTAACAATGGAATGCGAGATTAAAAATAGTAAATCAATTAATTAAAAAACCTTGATTTTTACTATAATAAAGTTTAACTTGGGATTGTATACAATGGCCTTGCATGGTGAGATTACTCCAGTTGTTGAGTCAAATCCATAACTTTAATAAAATAATAATTTCACTTTAATATAATAATAATTGCATGATTAGAACCGAAGCAAATATTACGAGCAAGATAAGAAAATCTGAAAACAGCAATATATATATATAGGGTAAATTACATGGTTCCCCACTCAACTTTATTCTCTCTCCTATTTTACTCACTTAACTTTCAATTTTTCTAATTTGCTCATTGAACTTTACAAATTTAATTATTTTGCTCACTCGACTGTTAACCTTGTAACAATTTTATGACATGGTACATGAAAGGTTTTTAAATTGTTAAAAACATGGGGAAACATAATCATCTACCTTCAATACCCATCTTCAACCTTCAAAAACCCTAAAATCCAAAAACCATCTTCAACCTTGAATACCCAATTCACTACCAGAATCATCTACTTTCAATCTCCATCTTCAACCTTCGTCGACACAAAAAATGTAGGTAAGCAAAAAAAAAAAAAAAGATAAAATTCCAAACAATTCTCTCATTTCATCCGACCATGTTATCTTTCAAAAACGTTGGAATTCCACACCTACAAATTGGAATTGAGTTATGTTTTCCACACCTATTCGTGGAATTAACGATTTAGTAATATTTTTGTGTGATTTAGTATTTCCCTATGCGAACATTATGATATTATTATAATTGTTTTTAGGGTATGTTTGTAATTCCATGATCTTTAAATCCCTAGTTGAATTGTTTACTATATTTATACTATCATGGGATACAGATCACTTTCTGTAACTTTAAATATTTTGTTCGATAGGTTTAGTAATCCTATGAAATATTTATGGTTGCTCTAAGGGGACAGTATTTGGTTATTCGTATATTTGATTTTATTTATCTTGTGAAGATTTGATTTACTGTTATTTGTATGATTATACATATTATCGTATATTGTGTTTTAATCATAATTGACAAATTACTTATGATTTGGTCAATTGTCAAATGATAATTGAAAAGATCAAAGTTTTCTTGTGCTTTAATCAAAATTTTAATGTGACATTATATTCTCGTGTCAGTTAGTTTAAGAAATTTGGGGTTGAGATTTGTTAATTTGGTTGCTCATCTCTTGGTGTATTGTGTTTTTTTTTTGTTTAAATTTGGTGAATTTTTTATGAGAAAATAACCTCAGTGACCAAAAACGCCTTATAATATACGATTTTAATCAACTTTTTTTGGATTTGCCAAAATGACCAACTAAATCGCAATGCGATCGATAATTCGCAACGCGATCTCCGGTATCGCAAATTAGTTTCCAGATTCACAATGCGATTCTGACTATCGCATTGCGATTTCCCAAATTCGCGTTGCGATTTCCCTAATTCGCAACGCGAATACGTAAATCGCAACGAGATTCTGACTATCGCAATACTGAATTTCAAATTCGCAACTCGATTTCTGAATTCGCAACAGGTTTTAATTTCGCAACACAAATATTTTGGGTATATAACTACGCAGCAGCACAACTCATAACCTAAATCCCTAAATCGCAACTCATTCCATCTCCATCTATCACTCTCTCCGGCGACATGCGTTCCTATATCCAACGACATCCTTCCCCATCCAGCAACAGGTTTTAGTTTCACAGCTCGTTTGTTTAGTAAATTAATTTACAATAATGAAATCATCTAATGTTGATCATGTTTGGATAGATTTGTGTTTTGGAGGGTCATGGGAGAATGTTCATGGTGTTTTACAATATATGCCTTTACCCATGAATCTTCAACTAAAACTGTCATTAAAAAAGTTAACTTATGAAACTCTAATGTTACATGTTGCAAATAAATTGAATTTAGAGCCCCTAAGTGGATTTAGGCTATCTTATCAGAGAAATGGTAAAGTTTATTTGTTAACCGACAATGAAGATATTGAACGATTCATTGCTTACATTAGTGTTTCAAGTGATGATGTTACATTGTATGTTGTTAAACCTAGAAGTAGTGAAGTTGGGTCAGTAGCGGGTAGTAATCAACTAAGTTTTTCAACCCCAGTTTATGGTGCTCAAAATTTAATGGTTCCACCACAATTTCATCACCAAGCAAATATTGTTTCACCACATTTCCAATACCAAACACAATCTCAAAACCCACAACCTTTCCCTAATCCAAATCCCAATCAACTTTCAGCACCAAATTCCGGTTTTCGTATTGACCAATTAGACGATGATGAGCCAACAGAAAAAATTGTGAGTACTAGTCAGTATTCGAAATTTGATCTTGGTCAATACCCGGACTTTGATCTTGGTCAATACTCGGATTTTGATGATTTTCAGAAGAAGAAACAGACCATGCGTGTAATGATTTTGATATTGGTCAATACCCGAATTTTGATGATGAAACAGCCCCGAGGAAGATGTTGTTGATGATAATGAGGAGGAAGTTACGACTGTAAATGAACATGTTGAGCATCCATTCTGTAATTCATATAACACTGAAGAATAAAAAGAAGAAGAAAAATCCCCAAAGAAAAGTCCCCGAAGAAAATGCCACGGGAGTATAACTGGAATATGCCAGAATTACTTCAGATACCGGAAGAAGAGTTGGTAAAGATAGCAGTTGATTGTTACACAAAAATTATTCGTATCAAGAAAGATAATTGTTTTGATACAAAGGAAGACTTGAAGATAGCTTTGTATACGAAATGTGTGGAAGATGGCTATCAACTAAAAGTTAACAAATCAAGCAAAGATCGTTTTGAAACAAGGTGTATGATTGACAAAAACTGTATGTGGCGTATGATTGCAAAGAGGATAAAAGATTGCGAAATGTTTCAAGTTAGGACTTTTATTGATAAACATACATGTTCAAGAACCCAAGTTTTTCCTTACCATGGACAGGCAAACAAAAAGGTGTTGGGTGGTTTTCTGGCTGAGTTAATGTTTTTGAATGGTAGGGTATATCGGGGACATGAAATTATGACTGACATGAATGCTCGGTTCAAGATTAGTATCTCATATTCTCAAGCTTGGAGAGCCAAATGTTATGCCTTGGAATTGTTGAGGGGGTCGCCAGAAGCATCGTTTGCCCAACTGCCGGCTTATTGTCACAATTTAAAGCTGAAAAATCTTGGGTCGGTAACTCATATCAAAACATATAGAGATGGACGCTTTGAGTTGTTGTTTATCGCCATTGGTGTTGCGGTTAGTAAATCAATATAATTATGTTGACTCATTTTTGTTAGTTACATGCATTTCACATTTAAATGATTATATTTCTTGTGTATATGATTTTGTAGATTCGTTCGTTTATTAATTGTATGCGCCCAGTTATTATAGTTGACGGAGCACATTTAAAAGGTCGATACCTTGGAGTAAACTTATTAGCAGTAGCCATGGATGCTAACAATGGGATACTGCCAATAGCTTACGGGGTCGGCAAATCTGAAACCTCTGATTCATGGACATGGTTTATGGGGCATCTTAGGGATTGTATAGGTACTATTAGCAATTTGACAATCATATCCGATAGGGCAAACTCAATTGACAACGCTGTTAGAAGGTGTTTCCCAGATGCTTTTCATGGACTTTGTGGTGTTCATTTGTATAGAAATCTAAAATCAAGGTCTGCTGGTATAAAAAATCACAAATGGACATACTGGAAGACTGTAAAAGCTTATCAGGAAGTGGATTTTAATAAGTATATAAACTGTTTAAGACGTGTTTTGCCTCAGTGAGCTCAAACACTAGAAGATGTCGGGTTTAAAAGATGGTCAAGAGTACATCAACTTGGAGCAAGATATGGTTTCATGACGTCTAATAGTGCAGAATCAATCAACGCTCTAAGTCGTCATTCCCGGAAATTACCCATTACTATGTTAATGGAGTTTTTTCGAGCCTCTATTCAACAGTGGTACTACAAGAAAAGAAACCATGCAGGTATTATTTCTTTAAATTCGTAACTTATCATATATTTTACTAAGTATTATTTATTTAAATTTACAGGAACATTGGAACATCGTGTTACACCATGGACAGAAAAAAAGATAACGAAACGTGTTGTGAAGTCAACGTCATGGAGAGTTGAACCATGTTCAAACACTTTGTTTGAAGTACTGGATAATAACTTAAATGGGCTTGTCGATCTAAATGCAAAGACGTGTAGTTGTATAAAATGGCAAACATCTGGTTATCCGTGTGGCCATGTTATAAAAGTTTCTCTTCATCTAAACCAAGATGATTCAAGCGCATACGCTATGGATTGTTACACTACAGAAGTATATCGACAGACTTATGGCGAGATTTTGTCTACCCTATTCCACATCCTTCTGAGTGGGACATACTAGATGACTTACAAACAGTTTTGCCACCAGCCATGGACAGAAGGCTACCTGACCGACCA